TTCATGCTATCTTCCAGTACAATGCCAACTCACATTTTTATACTGACATGCAGAAAACAAATGACAGAACAAATTCAGCTGAAAAAATAAATCAGCAGAAAGTTATTTTTCAGCTGGAATCCAGCCCATGGAACAACTTTACAGGGCCTGTACCAGTAGAAGGCAGAAATGAGCCATTTCGAGACTTTTCTGTTAAATATCATCAATGCAGCCAATCACACACTGAAAACCCCACAATGTTTCAGTAGACTTAACGTTTGCTATATCTTCAAGAGAAAACATTGGTGGATTCACAAATCAAAGAATATTGAGTGGAAAAAAGAAGTAATTTGTCAAACCATTGGTCAAACTGATCCATATTTTGCTCTTAAAAAAAAAAAAAGTAGCTATTTACTATTATCAGACAATCATTTATTCGAGCAAACCCATGTACAGACAGTATCTGGTTAAGTCCAGATCATACTCTCTGGAATATGTAATTAATAAATAAATTTAAATAAATGTAATTATAAGCAAATTTGAAGGTATACCTTCCTATTCTGAAAGAGAAAAAAAACCACCAAAGCAAACAATTTGGCATTGTAAAAAACCTTTGTAAAACAACCTGGAAATGTATGTGAGAAACATTTGTATTCACACTTGTAGGTAGTACTACCAGTGTTCACTGCAATACAACTAAGTAGAGAGGAAGGGATACACCAACGAAAACAGAAATAAACATGAACACAAAATTATCTTTTTTTTTCTGACTCAGCTTTGATGTAAACCCTTTTGCCTTGCTTCTTGAAAGTTCTAATCATGTCAGAAATGTAAATTTAATTGAATTCATTTGCTTCTGATTTATGTATCCAAAACATATTTAGGTTAACATTTACTCATTTTACCAAAAGACAAAGCATACTAATTTAGATGCCTTTTTTTTTTTTCACAAGTGCAATACTCTTGCACACTAACTCTGTTTGAATGTTTATTCCACATTAAAGGTGGACTATTTTTAAACTAAATACAACAGTGCAAGGACACACCTATGAAGAGATGTATGTTTCCGGATCTAGGTCTGATGGAAAGTTCAGCTGGATCAGAAGTTATTACCCTGCAGTTTTCCACAGCTCCTCTGCCAAAGGTTAATTGGCTATTGGATCGACTGGAGAAAGAGTTTCCTGCATGTGCAACTTTCGGGACGGGAATGGGCTAAGGAGTCTGCGAGAGATGATGAGCAGGTAAATGCTGATCAGTTAATTGCAACCTCTCCTATCAGCAAAACTCCTTCCAGACTGCACGTCTCTACAGCCAGGGTGAAACAGTCTCAGCCTACCCCACCCATGTGTCAGGCTCACAGGGCAGGGTCGGTTTCAGGCTGAAAATCCTTCAGCTGCACCTCCACAAGCAGAGCACGGCAACTGTATTGCTTCAGACTGAAATCGGACCAGAGGGAACGGAGTACACGACCCTGTGTACCTGATGATGGACCTGATCCCATAGGTAAGCCTTTAATTCAAAGTACAAGTCTGCATATACAGAATTGCAACATTTTCCCACATACACAAAGCCCCCAAACCTGCCAACATTCCAAATTAACGGTGCTGATGTACCACAGTCTTATGAACTACCATTCGGGACTAAAACTAAAGGTAGAACTGAATGAAAGAGTATCCCGCTACCTTCTCCCTGCTAATATTAGTACTTGGGAGGCATGTGGTCAACTGGGACTTGGGTCAACTTATTTTCCAAATCCATGCTCCAGCTGACACTCCGGCCCTGCGAGTAACCACGCCAGCACACATGAAGGATCAGCTCTTTTTGACAGCCCGTCTTTCACCAGCTTAAGTTCAACACGATACACGGTACAAGAAGGAATTCAGATGTCTAGAGAACGGCATAACACCTACTTTACAGACATATGTGGGGAAAAGACATACACGGATAAAGAAAGCATTCTAAAATAAACGGTAACTGCAGGAGTTTCTTAGTGGTAAGGGCACACAAAGCAGAGAACATGATTTGACTTCTCAATCCCAACTTGAATTTTTTAGAGCTGGGAGTTAAATAAAGGCTTTTCAAACTTCTGCACTAAAAGTCATTATAACATCATTACATAAAATGAAAGCGTAATGCATATGTAGGGATACCTAGTCATAGGAAATACTGAAATCTAAGAACTGATTTTGACTAAACAGGCGAAGACGACAGAATGAAAGTCACTGCAGTAACCACAATTATTATTATATGTACTAGTCATCGGCAAATGTTTCTATTTCTGTAGCTGAGCATTAAATGACTTTGCACCTTGGACCTCTACTTAAACTACACTCACTAATTCATCTAAGAGTTGACATTTAAAAGCATTAAAAAGCAACTATAAAAGCACTTTTATTCCTTCATCCATATTCCAGGCAAGGGATTTTCAACCTATGTGAACCAAAATTGCTTGAGAGCCTGTAACTATTTTATGCCAAGAGCCTTACAAACTCCTAGGTCTGGAGGGATAAGCTGTCACCTAGTAGGGCTGACAACCCAGATTTAGGGAAAAAAAGATTTATATGCAACGCTTCTGTATGACTATATCTTCAGAGACAGCATGATACTCCAATTTGAGTTATTTGTTGTGAATCTATTACGATTTACAACAGGTTAAATGTGTGGTTTATGCAGGCAGATACACTAACAGTAACTGCTCCATGCTAAGAAGACGACTGTGCGTGCATGCAGTCCAGCCAGCCTCCTCATTTAAGGGCACATCCTTGAAAGAATGAATTTGCACTGTTAAAATATTTGTAGCTTAATTCACATTTTTATGGAAGAAGCTGAACAAGTTAGAAAGTCAGGATCTGTCACACACAGACACAGAAAAGAAAAAAAAAAAAGAAAAATCAAGGAAAACACCACTGTTTCTTTACACGCTGCACTTTAAAAGTTCGTGCTTGAAAGTGAAAAGTCCTCAACGGAAACGGGAAAGTCAGTCCCGTACCGGGGAGCGACCGGCCGCGGCGGTACCGGCCCGGCCGTGCCCAGAGGCCGCCCGGTGCCAAGTGCCGGAGGAGATCGCCGCTCGGTGCGGTCGTTTCGTGAGGCGGGCGGGCGGGCGACAGCCTCATGGGCCCGGAGCGGCCAAGTTCCCGCCGGGCGGAGAACGGGGCACTGAGGCAGCGGGAGCTCGCGGCCATCACCCAGCACGGCTCCGGGCCGGCCCCGCTCCCCCGCGGGCAGAGGAGTCCTCACCCGCCCCGGGAAGGGTGCGGGGCCCCAGGAGCCACCCACGGCTTCCGAGACCTCACCGGCGACACTGACCCCCGTGCCTCCGGCCGCGCGCGGACTCCCGACCGGAGGGGTAACGGCCGCTCCCGCCCAACGACCCCGCCCCGGAGCCGCCCCC